GGCTGTACCCCGAGTTCGCTGTCCCCTACTTCATCTACGACATCTACGCCATGTTCCTGTGTCACCTCCACCGAGGGCTGGTCAAGGGACACGAGGTGGGACCTTCACCTTCTCTGAGAGCTTCTCTGCTGTCCTACCTCCGGAAAGATCTCATGATGGTGCTCCACCACGTCGCCATGGTCTTCGTCTGCTACCCCGTCACCGCCGTGAGTTGGGGACACTTGGGGGACACTTGGGGACACTTGGGGACACCTGGGGGCGACACACCACCATGGTGCTCTTCTGCTTCTCCATGAGTTGGGATGGGGACACAAAGGGGGGTTGGGGACACTTGGGGACACTTGGGGACAATGGGATGGGTTGGGGACATTGGGGTTGGGTTGGGGACATGGGATGGAGGGAGGTCAGCTTGGAATGGACGTGGTTATGGAGGTCCACCACACCACCATGGTGCCTGTTGACTTCTCCATGGCCATGGGGATGGAGCTGGGGACACTTGGGGACAATGGGTTGGGTTGGGGACAATTGGGGACATGGGATGGAGGAACATCAACGTGGGATGGATGTGGTTATGGAGGTCCACCACACCACCATGGTGCTCTTCTGCTTCTCCATGAGTTGGGATGGGGACACAAAGGGGGGTTGGGGACACTTGGGGACACTTGGGGACAATGGGATGGGTTGGGGACATTGGGGTTGGGTTGGGGACATGGGATGGAGGGAGGTCAGCTTGGAATGGACGTGGTTATGGAGGTCCACCACACCACCATGGTGCCTGTTGACTTCTCCATGGCCATGGGGATGGAGCTGGGGACACTTGGGGACAATGGGTTGGGTTGGGGACACTTGGGGACGTGGGATGGAGGGAGATCAGCTTGGGATGGACGTGGTTATGGAGGTCCACCACACCACCATGGTGCTCTTCTGCTTCTCCATGGCCATGGGGAGTGAGAATGGGGCTGGGGTCCCCCTGAGGACACCTTGGGGACATGAAGCCACATCAGGGCCACCTCAGGGGAGATGAGGAGATGTCCTCATGTGACCTGTGTCCCCCTTTGTGTCCCCCCCCTAGTTCTGGCGCGAGGGGAAGGGTGACTTCTTCTTGGGGTGTCTCCTGATGGCCGAGCTCAGCACCCCCTTCGTCTGCCTCGGCAAGGTCCTCATCTTGGTGAGCTTGGACATTTGGGTCTCCTCGAGGGTGTGGGGTGGTCAAAGGTCCCCAACCCCCATGAGCCACCAACTCCTACTGTCACCAGGAGGTGGCCATGGGACTCCCAACCCCTTGGGGTGTCCATACGGACATTGGGTCCCCAACCCCTGTGTCCCCAGGAGAACATCTGAGGTGTCCACACGTCCTTCAGCCCCTGGGTAGATGTTAGGTGCCCATGATTCTCCAACCTCTTGGTTTCTCCAGGAGAACATCTGAGGTGTCCATGGGTTCCCCAAAACCTGGGATCTCCATAGTGACATCAGGTGCCCATGGGTCCCCCAATCTCCTGCTCCTCAGGAGAACATCTTGGTTGACCATTGATCCCTCAACTCCTGTTGTCTCCAGGAGAACATCTGAGGTGTCTATGGATCCCTCAACCCCTGGGTGTCCATACTGATGTTGGGTGCCCACAGGTGCCCCATCCCTGTGTCCCCAAGACTGGTTGACCTCGGATCCCTCAACCCCTGGATAGATGTTGGGTTCCCATGGTTCTCCAACCCCTGGTGTCTCCAGGAGAACATCTGAGGTGTCTATGGAACCCTCAACCCTTGGAGTGCCCATAATGACGTTGAGTGCAGGCAGAGGAGATGAGGAGATGGTGTCACTGTCTATGTCAGCAACCAGCTGGAGTGTCTGGAGCTCCACCTGGAGGTGGATGAGGAGCTGACTGAGACCTGATGGGTCACACCACAATCCAGGTGGTTCCTGGAGGACAACTTCCTTCTCCAGGTGGTCGAGGAACCGACCAGGAGAGGTGCCATGCTGGACCTTGTCCTCACCACCAAGGAGAGGTTGGGCAGCCTGGGTTGTGGTGACCATGAGATGGTGGAATTTGAGATCCTCAGGACACTGTGACCTCACCACCCTGGACTTCAGGAGAGGAGACTTGGACCTCTTGACGGATCTACTTGGTCATCTACCAGGGGATCAACTCCTGGAGAGAAGAAAGGTGGAGGACAGTGGGGTCATACTCAAAAGATCTCCTTCTCCAAGCCCAAGAGTGATACATCCCAACCAAGAAGGCAGGAGACCTTCATGGATGGACAAGAAGATCCTGAAGAAACTTGGGATCGAATAAGATGTCCACAGAGGGTGGAAGGAAGAAGAACATGGAGAAGGTTGAGGTGCTCAATGACTTTTTGGTCTCAGTCTTCATCGACCAAGTCCTAGAAAGCCAAGGAAGGGTCCAGGAGAATGAAAAGCCACCCACTGTAGAAGAAGACCATGTTGAGGAGCATCTAAAGAACCTGAAGGTCCACAAGTCCATGAGACGTGATGGAACCAACAAACGAAGTTGTGAAGCCACCATCCATCATGTTGGAGAAGACCTGGTGAAGTTCCTGCAGACTAGAAAATGGAGAACATCACCCTCAGTTGTAAAAGGAGAACCTGGGGACCTCCAGGTTGGTCCATCTCACCTCAGTCCCAGGTGAGATCATGGAGAAGTTCCTCCTTAGAAACCATGTTGAGACACGTGGGTGGAGAACGAGAAGATGACCAATGACAACCAAGATGGTTTCACCGAGGACAAATCATGGACCAATCTTGGTGGCTTTTCGTGGTGGGGTCACAACGTTGGTGGACAAGGTTAAAGGAACTGATGTCATCTACCTGGGCTTGTGGAAGGTGGTTGCCACCATCCCACGTGACATCTTTGTCTCTTAAGTTGGAGTCACGTGGGGTTTGATGGAAGGACCATGGATGGATGGAGATGGATGGAGATGGATGGAGATGGATGGATGGACCATGGATGGAGAGGGATGGATGGAGATGGATGGAGATGATGGATGGAGATGGATGGATGGAGATGGATGGAAGGACCATGGATGGATGGAGATGGATGGAAGGACCATGGATGGATGGAGATGGATGGATGGACCATGGATGGAAGGACCATGGATGGATTAAGATGGATGGAAGGACCATGGATGGATGGAG